TCGCCAACATTTGTTGTTACTAGTTTTTTTTTTTTAAATATGTGCCATTCTCACTGGTGTAAGATGGTATCTCATTGTAGTTTTGATTTGCATTTCCCTGATTACAAGTGATGTTGAACATTTTTTTCATATGCCTGTTGGCTATTTGCATTTCCTCTTTGGAGAAATTTCTTTTTAGCTCTTCTGCACATTATTTGACTGGATCATTTCCTTTGTTTTTGTTGAGTCTCATCAGCTCTTTTTAAATTTTTGTGATCAGTCCTTTTTAAATATTGTTGTGTGAAAAATTTTTCTCCCAGTCAGTGGGGTTTCTCTTTGTTTTGGTTGTCTCTTTTGCTGTTCAGAAGCTCTTTAGTTTGATGTAGTCCCAGCTGTTTATCTTTGCCTTCACTATCACTGCTTTGGGTGATGTGTCTGTAAAGATGTCTTTGAGGTGCATGTCATGTAGTGTTTCGCCTATATTTCTATGTATTTTATAGTTTCAGGTCTTATGTCTAGTTCTTTAATCCATTTTGAGTTGGTTTTTGTGCATGGTGTGAGGTAGTAGTCAAGCTTCATCTTTTTGCATGTAGCAACCCAGTTTTCCCATCACCATTTATTGAACAAACTTTCTTTGCTCCAGTGCATATTCTTCACTCCTTTGTCAAAGATTAGTTGACCGTACATCTGTGGGTTTCTTTCTGGATTTTTTCTATTTGGTTCCATTGGTCCATGTGTCTGGTCTTGTTCCAGTACCATGCAGTTTAGATGATTATAGCTTTGTATTATAGTTTGAGGTCTGGGAGTATGATGCCTCCATTCCCTTCTTTTTTTCAGGACAGCTTTGGCTATTTGGGGTTTTTCGTCATTCCATATGAATTTCATCAATAATTGTTCTATTCATTTGAAGAATGTCATTGAAATTTGTACTGGAATAGCATTGAACGTGTAAATTGCTTTTGGTAGGATGGCCTTTTTGATAATGTTAATTTTTCCAATCCGTGAGCAGGGGATGTCTTTCCATTTCTTTGTGTCTTCTTCTATTTCTTTTAACAGTGTTTTATAGTTTTTTTTTTTCTTTTTGTATAGTCCCTTTACCTCTTTTTTTAGGTTTATTCCCAAGTATTTGATTTTTTTTTGTTTCAAAAATAAAAGGGATTTTTTAAAATTTCTTCTTCATCAGATTTATTGTTTGTGTATAGGAAGGCTACTGATTTTTGTGTGTTGATTTTGTATCCTGCCACTTTACTAAACTGATTGATTAGTTTGATTAGTTATTCTGTGGAGTTTTTGGTGTTCTCTATGTATATTATCATATCATCTGTGAAAGTGTTAGTTAGTTTCTTCCTTCCCTATTTGGATTCCTTGTATGTCTTCTCTTGTCTTATTGTTCTGACTAGGACTTCCAGTATTATATTGAAAAACAGTGGTGAGATTGTTGCAGATCTTAATGGAAATGCTTTCAGCTCTTCACAATTGAGAATGATACTGGCTATGGGCTTGTTATATATGGCCTTTATGATGTAGAGGTATGTTTCTTGTATCCCGAGAATGTCAAGGGCCTTTATCATAAATGGGTGTTGTACATTGTTGAAAGCTTTCTCAGCATCTATTGATATTATCATATGGTTTTTATTTTCTTTGTGTTGGTGTGTGGATAACATTGATTGATTTTCGGATGTGAGCCATCCTTGTGTCCCTGGAATGAATCCTACTTGGTCATGGTGAATTTCTTATGGATACATTGTTGGATTCTGATAGCTAAATTTTATTGAGGATTTTTGCATCCATATTCATTAGAGAGATTGTCCTGTAATTTTCTCTTTCTGTGTTGTCCTTGTTCCGTTTTGGTATTAGTGTAATATTGGCTTCATAGATGTGTTTGGTATTATCCCTTCTTTTTCAGTTTTTTGAAAGAGTTTTGTCAAGGATAGGCACTAATTCATTTCTAAATGT